CATTGGTCTTAATCCATTGTAATCTGTCGGATAAATAAGACCTGAACCAAGACAAGAGAGGATCGCCAAAGCCTGTCTTGTAAAGAACTTGGACAAGAGCTGAGTGGTCCACACGGTCAAAGGCCTTTGACAAGTCCGTATATATTGTATCTACTTGGAGGTTTTTTCAAAGGCCTCAAAGATATACTTGTTAAAGATCATAGAGTTCGTTATAGTGGAGCGGCCGGGTCTGAAGCCATGTTGTTCATCAATCAGTACAGAGTTTACAGATGGTTGAATACTCTGGAGGACAAGTGAGTCGAACAGCTTAGCTAAATGGGATAATATAGAGATTGGTCTATAGTTCTTAACGTCGGATTTGTCACCTGATTTATGTATTGGAGAAACACAACTCATTTTCCATATAGAAGGGTAAACTCCTTCATCAAGTGAGCGTCGGAAAAGTAGCAGTAGAGGAAAGCTAATGGAATTTCGAATATTGTACAAGTAAATGCCAGAGAGCCCGTCAGGACCAACTGATTTTAAGTTCTTCAGCTTATCCAGACCTGCTTCAATATCTACGATGCTAATCATGTTGGAGAAATGGCATATCAAATGTATTACTAGTATTGGATGTGTAAACAGAGTTGAAGTGTGAAGCAAAAAGATTGGAAATCTTTTCGGGGCCGGTGCAAGAGGAGCCATTTAAGTGGACTAAATTAGGTATACCATTTTGTGATTTGCTCTTTCTAACAAAGTCCCAGAAGGAACGAGGATTATACTTAAGAGCTGATTCGGTACGAAAAAGGTGTGCTTTATAGCATTTCTTAGATTCAGACTTGAAGCGAGCACGAATATAAGAGAAAGATATATAATCGCTCTGGTTGCATGTTGATTTGTATTTAGCATGCGCACGTTTTTTATCAAATGCCAGCGCTTTTAGGTCTTTAGTGAACCAGGCAGGAAATTTTGAGGGAGTAAAGGAGACTTTAGGCACAAATTGTAGTATACAGGAATGAAGTGCATCATAAAAAGCGTTTGTGGCAGAATTTACATCGAGAGACAAAAACGTGTCATACCAATTGAAAGATAGTAAAAATTTGTTTATATCAGGATATGATGCTTGATGAAAATTAAAAAAATTGTGAGAATTTATAGGTATGGGTACAGTTTTCTCAGCCGAAATATTAATACACAGGGCAGGGTGATAAGGGTCGCATGGAACAAGAGTGTCTAAAACAGTGTCCACTGAAGCCATCTCATTATTGCAGAATACAAGGTCAAGGAGCTTCCCATTAGTGTTTAGAACTTTATTTAGTTGATAGTAGTTTAGGAATGCAAAAGTTTCTGGAAGGCAATTGATTCTGATATCAGAGGTGGAAGAATAAGTTAACCCAAGATTATCGTTAGACCAAGTGATGTCAGGCAGATTAAAATCACCGCAGAATAGGAATAAAGAATTAGGGTTATCATTAATAACTGACAGGACTGCGGACAAGTAAGATTCATAGAGATGAGTAGAGCTGATAGGAGGAATGTATGCTGAACTTACAACATAACTGGAGTCGTTGTAAGTAAATTTGACAAATATATGTTCAACATTTCTGTTGGTAATAGGGATAATATTCGAGTCGAATTCGGCACGAACTGCTATAAGAACACCACCACCTCTACTAAAACTACTGGTTAATGCATTTCTGTCACATCTAAATACAGTATAATTATATAAACCTAATTCATTATCATATATATTATCACATAACCAAGTTTCAGATAGACATATAAAAATATAGTTAAAAATAGATGCGTTACATATAAAGGTTTTTAATTTTGTTCTCAGACCTCTACAATTTTGGTAGTACCCAAAATGTGTAATATAATTGGGTGTATGAGTAAGGGGGAGAGCGTTCTTTACTGAAGTATTATTATACTTTTAAATTATTAACAAATATTTACAGCTACTCTTCTATTTATAAACAAAAAAAAGGTTTTTATATTGTATATACCTTTATAAAACTCCTAAAATAGTATCATTGTTAAGATCAAATATATTGTGAAATGGAACTTCAGGAAAGAGGACAGGTTTTCTTTTCAAAAAAGACGTTGACACCAGTGCCGGATTTAGAGGGGGTGCATTGCACCGGGGCCTCAAGATCAAGGTTGTTTTAGGGGCCTCAGGTTGAAGTACTACATTTTCTAACTTTCTATAACTTTTTATTATAAAATGAACAAACTTTATTATTTTAAGATGTTACTGACAAGTGGCAGCCATTTATTTTGGACGGTTTGAATTTAAGATAATACTATTTATCATTGTTATTGTTTGTTTTACATATTTATTTGTATACATATTAATTAAATATAGTATGCATCGTATACTATTTTCATATAATCGTACTATTTATTTAATCTCAGAGGCTCGCGAAGTCGCTCTAGCCGCGAGTGCAATATTTTGCTAGACAAATTAATAATATACCTGTGGTTATATTTATTTATTGTTTAATATAAAGTAAAAATGGATTATGATTTACGGACATGCGTTGGTGCAGCGTGTTATTCGGATATGTTATTTTGTACTTTTGTCAGTTTTATTTACCTACTCTATTATATTAATTTTTCATTTGATTATAAAAAATATAAATTAGGTACCTACCTACACTATCTTTTATTGACTTGAAAAAAACATGTCTAATAGCTGACAATTTGAAAGTGGTGCATCTAAAAGATGGAGAAAAACGTTCAAAACAATGAATTAAAAAAATATAAATGATTGATGAATAATTTTGTATTCAATTCAGGTAACTAAGGTACCTGATTTATATTTGTGTCCAGTGCCATATTTATGGAAGGACAAATGGAACATTTGCACTGGGCCCACTGACTTCAGGCAAACAAAATATTAATTTTATACCTTTTTATCATACTTTGAAAAAACAAAATATATTTAGATTTTACTTGAATATTTTGGTGGGTTATAAATAGGCTTAGGGACTTTTAGCTCTAAAAATACCCAAATATGCACCAAAAAATGGCCAAATTATATGTCCTAAAATATGCACCTAAAAATAACCGTATATGTACTAAGATATGGCCCCCATAAAAATTAGGTATAACAAATATGTGGTAAAATTAAATATTTATTTTATTAGAATTTATATTATATAATATTAGAATATTATTACTTGAATTGAAAATTATATAATATAGGGCTCCATCACTCCCCCTTGTATCGAGGCCTGCCATTTACATCCATTTTAAGAGCATTTATATCATGGGGCACTACATTATATCAGTCGCATACCCTGCGAACAAAGTCTATGCACGGCCTATGGTGGTATAATAGATATGAGAATAGGGACTCAGTAAGTGAATGCATAATTTCATAATTTACCTATTAAATTATGGAATTTAAATTTTGTGTTTTTTAGTTTGTTTAATATATCAAAATGACGAAATGTATCAAATAAATAGATAAGTGTAATGTATCGAGAACATTTTTTTTAAGGGGCCTCCAATTGGTAGTTGCACCCCGGCCTCCTGAGACTTAGATCCGGCACTGGTTGACACCATAGTTAAATGCTTAAATGAATCACACAGATCCCCGATTAATTACAGTAGATATTTCCTAACAATACACTAATAGTGGCTAAAAAATATATCTCAAGAGTTTTCCAAAAAGAGTACATACATTGGTTGGTAAAATACGATTAAGAACGTTATTTTTGGTAACACAATTAAGAACTCTCGATTATTTTTTTTTCCAACTTTGCCAAATTTAATCGAATAATAACTTGAGCACAATAATCGGCTAAAGAACGATTAAGAAAATAAGAACGTTATACAATTTCGGCTGAACGATTGATATGGTTGATATTTAATATTTATTGGACGTTATGTCATTCGTGGAGTTAATCACTGTTTGTCCAAATGAAGAAATTAGTCAAATTTTTTTAGGATTATGTTTTAAATAATTACAAAGAACCTGGCTGTTCATTCAATACGAAATTGTGGGCAATGAAACCTTCGGTTTAATTTTTTAATTTTTAACCTGGGTAAGTTTAAAATAAACTAATCAGTGATGGGAAAGAACGCGTTCATATTGTGTGAGCTTGACATGAACGAGTTTGATTTTCAAGAAATGAACTTCAATGTAAACTATGTTCTTACTAATTAATATTTTGTACGTTTTGGATTCGTTCATTTCAAAGTTCAAACTTTCAGAAAATCCTAGGTAAGTTTCAAATAAATTAATACATGCAAATTAATAATTACTACAGTTAATAACTTTCTAGGACTACCAATGCTGCTGAAAGCTTTCATAGAAAATTTAATAGCCAATTTTACAGTTCTCATCTGGCAATATATTATGTTATTAAAACACTAATTGAAACTCATTCAGAAACTTCATTAAAAATAGCAACGATAGAACAGGGTAAAAAAAATAAATGCCAATAGGTACAACAAAAGGAAAAATTAATTAATATTCATAATAAATATAATATGTGGTTTGTACCGAATAAAAGTTCTAGTAATTTAGTAAAATATTTAGAGTATGTTGGATTACACTATCCCGCTATAACTAATTTATAGGTAACTCATTAGTCATTACATATTTATTACATTTTTTATACAAAGGTATTTATCACATATTTTTATAATTCTTCATTTTTACTTTTTTTTTTTTTAAATATACTTAAAATGATAATAATAAATGATATGGCAACGTTGCACGTAAATTTGTTCTCAATCGTATTCTTTTTGGAGTTATTTTTGGGTCAATGGTAAGTTCTTTGTTATTTTTAAGTGTTCTCAATTGTTCGATAGCCACATTGGTGATCAAACTACTAACTATTTTATAAATATAAGTGGACAAGAATATTACCAATGCCTAGTTAAAAGCACTAAATTACTAAAGAGAAACCAAGACGTTGAAGACCAAGGCCCTACATATTCAATAAGGAAAGCATGGAAAATCATAAAAATGATATCAGACTGGATTGATAATGTTTATAAAAATATACTTATTTACTGACCGGCATATTTTTATTACTCATATTCCCAGTAGTAAGTGTAGATGACTGCATTGGTGATATATTTCCAGTTTCAACATCATTATTAAGAGTAGCATACCTATATAAAAATAAAAATACTATTGAAAATGAAAAATTAAATTATTAAGATCCAGAAGTATTACTTAGAAGAGTAGCCATAAGGTTGAGGAATAGTATTTGAAAATAAAATTCGCTTTTTTCTTGGCTTAAAGTTTTTTTCTAAAAAATGATCACTACATACACGTTGGTGCCAATCATAACAACAATCGATTCCAAAAACTTTAAGCCATTTTCTTCTCATGCATTCATTGCATTCATTCTTGGGAAATCTATATTAAAGCAAAAATCAATGAATACAATAAATTGCTAATGTTAGGTTCGGAAAATAAACACTAAGTAAAAAATTTTAGGCTAAACCAGATCAAAATTATTTCACAGTATCCCGCACCAGGATAACGAACCATGTCAGTAATATGATTCAAAGATCCATGTGCGTTTATTTCACAACAGTTTAAGTGAGTAAATTTCTAGAACCAATTGATACTCACCCATGATAAATAACTCGTGGACGATTGACCCTGGTGTTTTTATGTGTATTGCCACACACTACACACTTATGCATTTTAAAAACGTGGTGTTATATATTATTATCAAAAATACATTTAAAATAATTAATATAAAAAGTGCAACCACCAAGAATAATTTGACAAATCGGATATACGCAGTTGGAAGTTAGAAAAAAGAACTCGATCAATCAATGGACGTGGGTAGCCTCGCTCACTCAGTCTTGGGATGTATACATGTAATATCTTTTCTAGTTTTCTATGATGTATACGACTACGACATTATGACCCTCCGGTAGAAGTCCCTTCTCCTATAGATCGATGATTGTGTTTTGAGGTTAGGTGTACGTTTTCTCGTGGTAGTTAATCCAGTCATCCATAGAATAATGGTGGTTATAGGTATGGCGTGTGGTTTTTTTTGAAGGTATAGTATGCTTATTACCCGGCCGACATACAGCGGCGAACCGGCTACCGGCTAGTACCACAGAATAATAGTACACAAGGTGCAGAGTGGTCGGTGAACAGGATGCGTATCAAAATGTTGCTACCTATCGATTTTGTCTATGTCTATATGCAATCTCGCCGATCACTGTACAAAGCACATGAATGAAACCAAGAAAAACATAACTTTTTGATTTCATAGGCACAAATTTGATGATTATTATTTATATTATTAAAAATTAATGTTTGAAATGCGCCTGTGCCCTGTTTATTATTTAGCCAGACACACACGGGCGGTAAAAAAATAATAATATATTGTCACGGAAAACTACGAAAACTGAAGACAACCGACTAGTGATAAGCGATACTCCTGTAATCACGGTTCTTTATAATCGAGGTAACGAGTACTTTTGTTCGTTCCATTGGTACATAGTTACAAATTACCAAATGGTCCCCAACGACCAACAGTAGAAATTCTGTTCGTTCTACCTCCACCACGAATTAAAGTATATTATCTTAATTCGTGACCTCCACGTACGCCGTACGATTCTACGATCTAAAGCATTACACATTTACACGAGAAAAATTACACACTAACAATTATTACGCAGGATTACAGGAATGAATAAATCGGGAAAGTATTACGTACACATGGACTTTGGTAATAATCCGGAAATTATTAGGGACACAGGCAAATATTATACGGGAATGTAAGTAATAAAATACATTACAAAACAACATAAATATACCTTTTTTATTTTTTTTTTCAGTTTATAACTGACGGTGCCACGGAAATTGATTTCTCATTACTGCCGCAGTGCCTCGGCGCTATAACATAAATATACCTTTTTTTTCCCCCGAATATAATCACTACATGGAAGCCGAACTGTTTTCACATTGCTTAGCTCCAACATAAATATACCTAACATTGGAAAATATAACGCTGGAAAAATATGTGGTACTCTATTTTATGTGCACAACTGCACAAGATAGCCTTTATGTGTAAATTTATTATAACTATTGTCAGGACCGGCTCAAGCGAAAATAGTGAACTAGGCGAAATCAAATTTCGCCGCCCCTAATAATATAATATTATCAGTATTTTGAAAATACCGCCCTCTTACTAAAGTGCTGCTTATGTGCCGCCCTAGGCGTGGGCCTATGTCGCCTACCCCTTGAGCCGGGCCTGACTATTGTTATCATTCAATATAATGTCTGTGAAATAAAATCGCGCAGATACCGTCATTCGACCATAGATAATACATAATATATTATATATTATCTATGCATTTGACCGATTAAATGACGAGCAATTACCACTGATATCCATAGATATTAAACTATTAAAGAATGCGGATATTCATTAATATATTTATATATTATATAATACTAGCTCTAAGTGTAACTCGGGGCCCTTTGGACTCGCTGAGAGTGGGTACCGATTTTGGAGACAATGTCGTTGGAATTATAAAAGTCGCAAAGGTTGTAAGACGAAAGTTTAGGATTTGTGATAAGGATTAGTGATATGGATTGGATATAAGGCTAGACGCTTTGGCGGGATTGTTAAAAGTTTGAGAGTCTAGTAATCCGTCACAAACGTTGTAAATGGATGGGCTGGATACGATCTCCAGGATCACCTATGTCCTATATAGAGTATACCTGCACATAGAGTGGTTTGTGCTGTAGCATGACCGGTGCTTTATGTTATGTAAAAAGTGTAAAGTCGACAACCGTGTTGGAGTTTCTAGCAAGTCAGTCATCTCAAGTCAAAATCGATTAACTTTCAAGTTAGCCACCTAGGTAGGCAATCCGAGTTCGTCGGGTATAGCGGACAGTGTGCTGCAGCAAATCAGGTAGGCCAGTGAAAACCCTATCACACAACATATGAAATAAATTTACGAAAAATACAAACTTGAAACTATATACAATATACATTCAAATAAATATAATATGTATGTTTTTATTGTATGATATATAACAATGAATATTTTGTGAAATGTGCAATTATAATTTCAAAAACAAAAATAACATATAGATACATAATATATTAACCAATACAATTATTGTATTATGTATTATACATATAGACATGTACCTGTAGTGTATATATTGCTATCCCGCGGTGGATTGCAAATCTGATGTCTAGCGGCTATAGCCTATAATTGAAGAGAAAAAATAGTATTTTCAAAAAACCCAATCACACATCATTTGAAATAATTTACGAAAAATAAAACAAATATAATTCGTATTTATTGTATGATATAATATAACAATGACATTTTAGAGAAAATAATATGTGTTAAATTCCTAATTATTTAAATAACATATATTATAGGTACAGCCACATATAAAATGTAATATTAGCCAATAAATATTAACATGTTCCTGTATAGTGTTTATTATTTAATTTATATGAAGCGACGATTCGTGATAGCGGTGGTGGTCGGAGACGGGACAGCAACAGCCGCAGATAGAGCTGGCTGGACGCCCGGTATAACGGTTGCGAGTGCGGGCGCCCAGTTTATAACCGTCGGACGATCTATCATGAATTATTAAATAATTAATATTCTAATTGTACTATTATTCATTATTATTATTATATATTATTTCATAAGATCTTATATTAGTATAGATTTAATTTAATAATTTAACCATTGCCTCTTCGAACCGCATTGCGGTCATCGTTAGTATAGCGATGAGCGGCCTCTGTTTCTTCGGAAATAATTAAATTAATAACCTATATTGTTAAAGTGAACATTGTAATAATATGTACTTACTGTGGACATTCTTTGTGTGCCGTGATAGATTGCTTTGCTGCGTGAAAACCTTTGCACATATCCCACATGAAATTGTTGATCCATCGTGGATTTTTGCATGTCTGTTTAGACCACTCTTCTGGGTATAAGCTTTTCCGCACGTGATACAATCGAACATTTTTACAATATTAAACACACATAGAATTTAACCAATAAACGTTAGGAAATATGAGCAGGACGTTAAACACTATCGAACTCTGAAAACCGTCTGATCCGTAAAAAACATTGACGACGGCCATGGATAACCAAATTCTGTATCCATATTATATATTTTATATATATATATATATTTAATATTATTAATAAAATCCACAGTGCCGCTGTCACTGTAGTCTGTAATACGACGCGTATGCACATTCTTGCTGATCGTGTGGGATGAATACGATATAATTTTTAAACATATCGATATATAAAATTAGCTTATGCTGCACAGTTTAATATATTATACAATATACTATTACTATATGTATAGGTATATACTATACTACGTATAGAGTATATACTTTGGATATTTATATGAATGGTATTACTATATATAGGTATATATACTAAACTATGTATAATGTATATAGACCTATATTTTTGAGGGTGCACAAATTATAAAGAATTCCCAGACCCCCAGACCCACACTCTATATACAGACTATAACAGGAAGATCTGACAAAAAAAAAAAAATACGCTACTTAAACGTGTGACAAAAATTGTGAAAAAAGTTATTACGGTCTAAATTAATTTACTAAAAAAAAAAATTGATTTTATAAAATATTCTAAACAATTAACTACTTGACTTAGATAAATGTTTTTACCATTAAAATTATTCTTATAATCAGATTTACAAATTGGCTATTTTCAATTTTTTATTTTCAGTATTAAAAAAGAAAAATATTTTTTTTAAACTGTACGTGTAGCACAAAAGACTATAAATTATGTATATAAAAAATTAAAAATTAATTTCATCTAGTATTCCTGTTAATATCTGTATATTTTCTAATAATAATTTCAAATGTATATTTAATATTTATATACTATATTTTAATATGAGTGAAACAGTAACAGATAAGAAATAAAATGATCACATTTTAACATGATTTTTCTCTCCAGTAAATTATATTTATTTAAAATATTGCTAATTTAGACTTCAGGATAACGCGGTCCATCTCTTCTCTCTTAATTGCCCAAATCAATTATGCCATTACATTAGTTATTTCAAAGTTTAAAGTGATTATTTTATTGTTAGTTATTTTTAATTTGTAGTATTTTTTGATTTTTTAAGATTCAAAGAATGTAATATATATCATAATATATTAGTATCACTGCGTAAAATATATATATCAAGCTATAATTTAAGATAAATAATTAAAATTAGTTTTTGTTTTTTTGAAAAATTGAGTGCCTACGTTTTTATTGGTATTTTAAACATTTAAAAACATACGTCGTGCTATAATAAATTTATCGTGATGCTGATTAATAATCATTTATAAAGGACATAATGTTATTAATATTATTAGATGATATTATTATCTTAAAAATGTACTCACGGTGTAGCTAAATGGCCTATCCGGGACGCCGTGTGATCATAATTTAATTGTAAATAATTGAAATACATACTAAAAAATATGTTAAAGTTATGTATGACAACGTACAATTTTCTGCGGCCAAAGTGAGGGTAAATCTCATTTACCATCATAAAGTAAAAAATACATATAGTGAATATTTTTCAGCCATATAACCAAAAGCAAAAACATATAAAACCTAAACACTGCAGTAGCCAGTAGTACAGTTACATATATAATATACATATTTTACATTTATTGTAAATTATAACAATATAACAAACGATTTAATACAATGTCTTATTCACATTATTATTCACTCGATTAGTGAAATATATTAAAAATTATTTTTAGTTTCCTTTTAATATTTAGTGGTGGACAGTAGCCAATCTGTGCTCAGCTGTCTCTTTTCGACTTACATTGTGTTGGTCAATAACAGTGTTCACTTTAAAAACCATCACGTCCACGGTGGTTCGTACAACAATACGACAAAGGCCGACACAGTGGTCATGTGGGTAGTTATTTTACTTTTCGTAAGGGTCCAATCAGGTAGGTATTATTTAAAAAAAACTGTATTTAGTATTAAACACTTGGACTATAGGTACGTTATATTATAATTCATATGAGATGTGCAAAACGGCTTAAAAATTGGTCTATCAATTTTAATTGATGTAATTTAAAAAAAAACAGTTACAGAATTTTAGGTATACACTTAATACCAAACATTTGTTTTTATGTTTAATATTTGTTTTGTTTTAAGAAATAGAGTTCCCCTCATGCTATTTCTGTATTAATAGTATTTATCGGTGAGAAATGTATATTATATAATATTAAACATTTTTATTAATTGGTTGATTAAACATGTCTAAGTATTGTTGGCACTTGGCTTATAATTTAAATTATGAGTTTGACAATTTTGGATTTGTACAATATAATGAGATAAAATATACCTAAGTATATTAATACAAAATAATATATATTAATTATATAATAATGAACGCTAAATTATAAATAATTGAAATGTGTCTATAGATAAACACAACCACTTATTCTAAGGCAGATTGTTTATACAAAATGTGTGTTTTGTCTGATTGTTCACTGAAATCAAATATAAGTGATAAGTACTCAACCATATTATAATGAAGTGTTGAATTGTTGGCTCTTTCGTGAAACACAGATAACATTTTTTTTTATTTATAAGTATTTCATGTTGTATACAAATAACTAAGTTATAAATCCTGTAGTTTGTGCCTAGATCACACAAACGATTCAACGTTCAATTAATAACTAAACAATTTAATTAAATCGTGCGATAGAATCTAATTCATAATCCGTTTCAATGGATTCATCCCAATCTTTTTCAAGTCATTGTAAATATACTTAACACATTATTAAATTCATTATTTACTTTTATTAAATAAAAATTAAGTTTTTAGGTTTATATAGTCTATACTAAATCGTAGCCTAATAAAGTAGCTAAAAAAAATAAATCTACTGAGTGAACAATTGCATAATTAAAAAATATGCTAGAATAAAAGTAAAAAATACAATTATTAATAATTGAGCCATAAGTTAAATGATTATGTCACAGCTGACAATTGTTTTGAAAGCATGTGAAAAATACATATGTCACGAAGTATTTTGGTATTAGTTAAATTCCACATACTTTTCAAGAAGAAATAATTTGTTTATTATGTAGACATCACAGACACATACTTATAAAACGTCGGTTGTACCTACATGGCTACATAACATATTTTGAAATACATTAAATAAACTCATTGAACTCCCAGTCAAGTATGTAAACGTCATTGTATTATCATATAGTATACTTATTGACTATTGTGCTAAAAAGTACATACTGTGTATACCTAACTTAATGGTAAAAAAAATTAAATGTGTTTTCGATCTGCATTAAGTTTTCTCATTCATTTTTATTTTTAAATAGAAATTTTATGTATGTATATTTGACATTTTGATGTACATAAGTCTAACAAACTTGCAAACGGTTAAATATTTTTAAATATTTATAGTTTGACTGAAAGGGGGGGGGGAGGAAAAATTATGTTGATTGCCATGTGCCAGCATAAAAACATAATGGTGCACATGTGCAATAGAAAAACATTAACATTCAGTTTTCATTATATCATAATATCATAAAACATTTCATCACATAAATCAATCCATATATGAATGTATCAACATCAATAGGTACCTAGCTAAAGAAGAAAACAAACAATTATTTGAATTGTGAGAATGTTATTAATTGTTATTATTCAATGTAATAAAACTGTTAAACTATTAAAATGTATAGTTCAATTATTATTATTGTTCTTTTTTCGATTGTAGTATGATTTAACTTAGTACCTATTGAGTAACTTTGACGTTAAGATATTTAATATAGTAATTAGAAACAAGCAATTAATACACAGATAATACTTTTACATTATACATTAATTATATTAAAAATTTCAGTGGCGACATAGTATAAAATAAGAAATAATTATGTATGAAAAGGTGATTGAAATTTCAACCAAAATCAAAACATTGTACAGATAAAAATATATTTTAATTCCATATTTTGTACATTTTACGGATTAAAATGTTAAAATTATTTTAAAATATATGTAAATCTACGTATCAATAGAAATTGAATGATAAAAATAAAAAAATAATAAAAAAAACATTAACTTCAGAAAACTACAGTAATTAAAATGTGATAAATAACTTAATAGTAAATATTTTACTTTATCATAAAAATACAAAGATTAAACATTCCTGCCGAAATACATTATACAGACATAATAAATAATAATAAGTGACTACTAAATCACATTTTTATTTATTTACAGTTTTTATGCTGTTATGAAACCATTGAATTATATTATTTTAAAGTATAAGCTACCACACTCAATTAATATAAAAAGTAACTGATATCTGTATCTATATCATTATTATTACTATGAAAAATGATTGAAACAAATTTAAATGAGTCACAACAAGTAGGTAAACAAATTATGAGTTGAATTAAATATTATGGAGTGCTCTCTTAATTATTATATAGATAAAAAATAAATTATTTATTGTAATATATAGAAAAATAAATTATACATTTTTAGTTAAAAGTTTAAACGCAATAAGAAGCAACATTATTACATTTATATTTCTATAGGTATAAAAAGAAACAATTGATTTACCACCTATGACATATTCGTTGAACAAAATAAATATTATTTCTTTAACATTTAACTTAATGATAAAATTATATTTACTTAAAAATATAACTTATTCGCCACGGTATGTGAACGCAGCATCGACGACGAACACAACTCCGTTGAGGATGGACAACCAAGCCTTGGTTAAACCAGTATTGACATATGACGATTTCAATGCAAAACCATTGTAATAGTTGTAAGACATAACTCCCGATGTAATGAAGAGAGCAGCACCAATCAACACGAAGAACATGTCCTAAAATAACATTAAAATCATTAATAATAATGGTTATTACTTATTATATATAGCCATATAGGTAGTAAGACCAGCTTCGTCTGATCCGTCTTTCCTCGAGATAAATAAATTGATGTATTTTTAAGTCATGGTAAATACTAAAAACAGGTCAGATGGAGACACGGGTCTATTACTATTTCACCGTTCATTATTTTACCAGAGACGGTAGTTAAATCGGTCGTACCATTGATTTTATAATAATATAGTATTATAGTACATTATAAAATCAATGGTCGTGTACTTATAAACTATACTATAGCCTATGTTTTTCTTTGAGAAGTTATTTAAAATATAGGTACCAAAAACGAATGTAAATTGAGTCGGTATTTTCGAAATGAAATGTAAAAGTGGAACAACTCGGGCGACTTGTTTTTATGTAAAAAGAAATATTATGTACAACTGTGAGGAGCAAATAAAACAAACAGCTGATTATAATATAATGTGTTAAATAACACTGACCAAAATAAAAACAAAACAAATTATAACAGGTTATATAGATCTAATTGATTATTTTTTTATGTATAAATAATGTAATTATTTATATAATTAGGTATCCTTTCATACTGTAGCTAGCATACATAGGTACCTATACAAGTAACGACTAATTCTACCACTATAATAGTATCTAACCACCGTTGTTTTTCTCTCGCAAATTTATTTGATTAGACTTACCAGTCGAGAGCTTATCGGCGTTCCCGTGAAAAGTCCAATGAAAATTCCAGCCAAAATAATCACATAACCGACGTAAGTTCCGGTAGTGATCATGATCGATGTGGTATCACCACCCGGGAAACTGTTGTAATGCAAGACGAAAATGATGATGGTTAGAGCCTGTGAAAATATAAAAACCATACAATTATTATTATTATTCGTCATGCAATGGTGGGCATTAACTTGTTAAAAAGTTAAAGTTAAGTTAAAAAGTTAATTTTTTTTTAACTTTTTAACTTAACTAGTTAGTTTTTTTTGTTTTTAACTTATTAACTTATTCAGTTAAATTTTGTATTGTTTAAACTTAACTTTTTAAAGTTAATTATCATTATTGTACAGTTAAGTTAATTAAATTAAATTTTTATCATGTGGAACCAAGAGACAAAACTTATTCTTTCTATTTTGCCATTTTGGTAATTTATTTTTCTAATAATATAATATCATCAATTCATAACAATCAAATTATATTATAATCTATAGGTACTATAGTAAAGACTAAAGAGTAATAATTAGTATACTATCCTTGTATCGACTGGCCATTTTCACGAATTCTATTATTTAATGATTTAATATTATTTAATGGTATTGAATAATCCGATTTTTTTTTTATCTAACTCTCCAATTCCTAAAAACAGGTTTAAAACTAAATATCATAGTCTTTAAATGGATATCATTATATCAATAATATATACTGGTTACTGGTAAATACGACAATTCCAATAGACAAAACAAAAAGTCGTCCGAGATATTTATAAATTATAATTTATATTGCCGTATTCGTTATAAATACAAATAAACGTATGCGATTAGAAAATAACATTATCGAAATAAATATGGAAACAATTTTTGGTAGGTATTATACTATTATCATTATTCATTGATTTTATTTTAATAATAGACTATTATAATGGTACTAAATGACAAATATTTAAAAACAGCCTATACCTATTAATATTATGACTTATAAAAAAGAATTAACTTTTTTTTAACTGAGTTAAGTTAATTTTATTTTCCATCTTAACTTTTAACTTAACTAGTTAAATTTTATTTTTTTGTTAACTTTTAACTTAACTGAAGGCAATTTAATTGAATTAACTTAACTTTCCACAGTTAATTATTTTCATTAACTTGCCCACCATTGTCGTCATGCAATGTTCGCATTAATTTTTCTAACTTCTAAGCTATTAATTATAAATTAAAGGCCATGGACACAAAATAATTAATGATGGAAATGCCGGTCGTGTCCAAAAACACTCAAGTAATGAAAACCTGATTAATAATTAATGTATGAAGAGGGTGATTCATTTAACACAGAAACCACTCATTATCTTGAAACGTATTAACACATTAGATCATGAGAGGAGCGATAAATGTATTGACTTTACAACGTGTTTTTATGATTTTTATTTTACTGCCATCGCCTTTTGAAGCAGCAAAATAGTTTAAAATGTTTAGATTACTTTGGAGAGTCAAAAGAAAAAAATTCCAAGTACTTTTCTTAATAATTGGGAACAACTTAATTATATGTTTATATTCTAAACAGTGATTCATGGTATCATATTCTAAATTCATTTTTAAAATATTTTGAATCATTTTGAGACATCATCTTTATAGACATGTAATTGATGTCAAATGTTCGATTCTTTTTAGTTTAATTTCAATGATTGTCAATTAATTTTATGATTTCCACTTCTAAATTTTGGAAATATTTTTAAGTAAACAAAAAAAGCTGGAGACAGATTCAACTAAATACTTAAAATCCAATTATGTTAACATTGGTGGTATTCGTCTATATTTATTCGTGTTTACTTCAAAAATATATCCAGAATTAAGAAAGCAAATCAAAAAAATTTTCATTGTGGCTCTTTTCAAATATATTTGATTTAAATTTTTTTTTTTAGATTCTTAGTGGAACGATGAATGTATTGGTTTTACAAGGATATGTTTTTTTTTTTTGTGGCTGTGTACACGGTAAGTATTCGAAATAATGCTTCGATTTTCAACTTCAATATCTTGTTCGATGGGAAAGTGAATATTGTTGGTACATTGAGGAGGTCAAAATTTAAAATTCCCAATAGTTTTCAAAAGCGCCGAGAAAAATCACATAAAAATTAAGGAAAAACAGGAATTTTTACGCAAAATCGATTTTGGTTTCTGGTGTAACTCTAAAACAAATGAAATTTTCACTGGTCGTATATATTTGCATTTCCTATACACAATAAAATGTTCAAAATATTTTGATTTGCTTTGAACTGTTTAGGAACATTTTCTTTTTCCAATTTTATTAGACTTTTTTTCTTTGAATGTCAATAAAACTTTATTTATTGGGTAAAAAAGTTAAAAATTGAATACAAGGCTCCTACTATATTGTTACAATAACATTTGAAAAATATTGAAAATCCTTACCTAGTAGCAGTTTTTTTTTATAAGCATTTAAATTTCAAATCTAATAACAAACGAGATATTGGTACGTAAATCTACATGGATTTACGCATTTACAATATGCAAACACTGAAATACTGTAAATTTGCATGTTTTATAAGTCATAAAATAAATTATTATGTTGGAAAAATATAAAAAATAATGTAATTATACAATCTGATGAACAATATACCAATATATTATGCAGTCACCCACTATATACGAACAAACATCGATATACAAGTAGGTTGTCGTTATTGTTTAAATTGAACACACGTTTTTTTTTATTTGAACACATTTTAAAAATTAGTTTTAACCGAACATGGAGGGAAACGATTTACTTCCAACATTCATTTATCCGCGATTTCACTTATAAATATGATTTAAAACACTGCTGCAGAATGTGTGTCTTATATTATTATATTATTACTATATATCAATAAATAGTATTTACTATATTAAAATTATTTTATGTATATTACAATCAAATACAAATATTACTATAGTGATTTATATTTTTTTCAAAACACAGCGGTTAATGAACAAAAAAAAAATATACATTTTTATTGTTTATGTTTTGTACTAATACGCCGGAGTGGGACATGACATCTTGTAATAAAACAATTAACCATTCCAAAATAGTCGTCGAAAGTACATAACATAATAAGTAATAACTAATAACCGTAATTCAGTGCGTTAACTTAACAACTGAAGCTGTGTCGGTGTGTTTCTATTTCCATACATAGGCTTTTCGACAGTGATCCGGTGCCCGGTGGCATGGCAAAATAAGTATTCGTGTCAACGATAAAATGTCTTAAATGCGAGTAGAATAAACCAAGAAAATAAATAGAATAGTGTCAAGGATCCATCCGCAATTCAATTCAGACCACGCAGCTTTCACAAAAAATAAATAAATAAATAAAAATACACGTACAATATTGTGTCGGCAGCGGCGATAATAATAATAATAATTATACTTTCAGCGGTACATAAGTACATAACATATTATAAAAAAAAACAATGTGCCGAAACGATTCAGGGTCATTGCTATGAGTGTTGGAAAATTGATTCGTGTAAAACTATTTTGCATTTAATTTAGTGTCGTAATCGAAACGATTATTATTACACTGGTTCACATGATCACAATATATCATATCGGATGGGGCACATTCAACTACACGATAATTTACAAGCATTAGTCATTACTATTTACTAATATATGTATTAGGTAGGTAACTCATATTTACATTCTTCGGATGAATCATTGTAATAAGTAATGCCCTTGAATGTAATGAAACGGTTCCTCGGAGAAAATACATAATATACATATAGTATTATAATGCATACCCACGTTTTAAGTTGTCTTTAGGCGTAATAATAGTGTATACACTGCAACTACAGTAGAATTAAAACGTGGTCCGAATTGCAATTTTATTTAGACCCTGCAATTCAACACACGAAATTCTTTCGACGTTTTTTTTTTTTAAATTTCTACTATCGGTGAGGTTATCATTGGTCGGCAAGGACTTTCCGTAGGCGTTTTCCGACTAACTTGGAAATTGGAATACATCAAAATGTAAAACAAAACCTCCCACGGTCTATACTTTAAACTGTAATGTGGGGAGGTCACATTATATTATAAGTATTGCTGCCTGCTGGGTCGCATCATCAAGCCTAGCTGCATATGTACTAAGACAATTAGTTAAATTTGTTGATAGAATACATAATATAATTTGAACAGACTATAATAAGTAGGTACGTTTTAAAATTTTAAACTTTTAAATTAATGTTAAATGGATAATAGTCAATAATAAAATATGTTTGGAAGATATGGTTATCTGAAAATTATAGTAGGTAATTAATATTAATCTGTTAACTTATTATATTATGTTTTTATTACTTATATTATTATATTATTCTATTCACTTATTATACAATTTGCATATAAATTTTCTGAGTAGGATGTACCTACTATTTGTATTTATTAATACTATGGACCAAGAAACAGAATAAAATAACTTATCATTAAGGATTGAGAATAACCATGAGTAGATTAAGTTTAAACTCTGGAAAACAACTACTCGTCCTAATTTTGACTTTATATTTGCCAACAAAAAAATTACCTGCTTAACATTTTTCAATGAAATAGGACGGTTTTCTTTTGAAAAAAAAAGAATCGTTTTTACCGACCGCCATTCTTTAAATAATAAATGCATGACATTAAAGAATAAATTTGGGCCATAGAGGTGAGCATTTTTTGATTAATCACTCTGAATATTTGAATTGCCCTTTAATAACACATCACAAATTCATAACAACATAACATTTTGTTGTTATACACAAATGAAAAATAGTTTTGCAAATATTTAAATAAGCGGTATATTATTTCAAAACACCATATTATAATTTATAATACTAAATTACTAACATTATATAATAATGGTTCAACGATTGACTCTCGGCCATTCCAAGTGCAAGTTATTTATTCACACCCTGAATTCGAAATTTGGATCAAAATTGTTTGGCTAACGACTGAATAATATATTGATAACGTTCTTCGTGTTAATGACGATTTAAATCCAAACAAATGGGTCAAGAATGGATCATATACCTATTACTAAATGAGTATATCTAAGGAAAACATATTCGTACACGTGAGTGTAGGTTCACTGGTTATTAAACAAATCAGTCACAACGTATAATACATCATGTTTAAAATC